TGCATGTGACTCAGAGCTTACTATGAACTACTACTGTTCCACTGGTGACTGGAGCCCAGGCTGGGGTGGGAGTAGGGGTTGGGGGGGTCACTGTTTTCATGGATGAGGGGTGCTTAGGAGGGGCTGTCTAAAGGGATAAATGGACCCTGATGATCCTGCAAACTCCTGTAAAAGGGAAAATCCAATCCAGTGAAGCTAGGGTATGGGGGCTGTCTGGGAGCTGGACACCTTGGTCCTCCTGCGGGAGAGGCAGGCAGGGCGATAACAGATCCTTTCTGGATGTCACAGGTGTTCACTATCACAGAGAAATCAAGACAAGTATGAAACTTTAAACACCTCCTTGGTGGTATAGCTCTCAGCTAGGCTAGCTCCTTGAGGAGGAAGTGACTCTTCATGGTCACGTTCTTCACTGAGGCTGAGCCCCAGGATTCCTGTGGTTCAGTAGCTTCACATCTGAAGGTAGGATGTACTGTTGGAGACCTGGCTGTCCCTTTAAGAGCAAACCAGTAGCACTAGACTTGGGTTCAATTCCAGACTGTCTAAGCTGTTTGATCTTGGATGGGCCAACCCAGCCAACCTCTCTGACCTTCATTTTCCTATCTCAAAATTGGGAACAGTTCCTAGCTCACCATGTTTGTTGTGAAGACTAAATAGCACACAGGATAACATTTAAAAGTTACCCATGGCTTCTTTTGCTGTGTGTGCACATGTGTGTGGAGGCCAGAGGTTGACATGGGGTATCTTTCTCAGTTGAACTCCACCTTAGTTTTTGAGACAGGGTCTCTCATTGAACCTGGAGTTCACTAATTCGTCTTCTCTTTTTTTTTTTTTTTCTGGTCTTTTTCAGACAGGGTCTCCCTGTAGCCCCAGCTGTCCTGACCTATGAAGACAAGTCTGCCCTAAAACTCACAGAGCTCCGCCTGCCTCTGCCTCCCTAGTGCTGGGATTAAAGACGTGCGCCACCACGCCCGGCCACTAATTCTTTTTAATAATATTTTATTTATTATTTTTATTTTTTTACTTTAAAAATATTTTATTATTTTTTATTTTATGTGTGTGTATTCCCTGCATGTAGGTAAGTGCACTCGTGTCATGCAATGCCCTAGGAGGACAGAAGAGGCTGCTGGATCTCCTGGAACTGGAGTTATGAACAGTTGTTAGCTGCCATGTGGTGTTGCGGGTGTCCTGGGGCCCTCCAGGTGGGGGTAGATCGGTGTGGAGTCACAACACAGACACCGGGAGTCAGGTGAGAAGCAGGCAGTGCGAGCAGCTGCAGACTTATTGCGGATATGGGGCTCCCTTATATCTCCCCTCCCGGTGTCCCACTGGCCCCAGTAGGCTTTCTCGGATCATGTCTGATCCTCATTGGCCCTCTCCGTCGAGCCATCTTGCGGCAGCCATCTCCATGTCCTTTGGCAAAATACAGGTTAGACTCAGCCGGATGCTTTTGGTGTGTTTGCAGCACACATGCGCAGGCTGTTCAGGCCGCACTTCCTCCTACAATGTGGGTGCTGGGATTCAAACCCAGGTCTTCTGCAAGAACAGCCAGTGCTCTTAACCGCTGAGCCATCTCTCCTGCCCCTATTTTTATTTTTTAAAGTTTTATTATTTACTTTATGTATACAGGTGTATTGCCTGCATGTGCGTAAGTGCTCCCGTGTCATGTAATGCCCATGGAGGTCAGAAGATGGTATCAGATCCCCTGGAACTGGAGTTCCAGATGGTTGTTAGCCACTATGTGGGTGCTGGGAATTGAACCCAGGTCCTCTGCAAGAAAAGCCAGTGGTCTTAATTACTGAACCATCTCTTCAGCCCCTTGTTATTTTTATGTGTATATAAGTGTATTGCCTGCATGTGTGTAAGTGCACCTGTGTCATGCAATTCCTGAGGAGGTCACACTAATTCTTCTAGACTGGCAGTCAGTAAGCCCCAGAGATCTGTCTCTGCCTCCCAGTACTGTGATTACAGGTCTGGGCTGCTGTGCCCAGTTTCTACTTGGGTGCTACAGAGCTGAACTCAGGTCCTCATGCATCATAGTAAGCCTTTCATGGACTGAGCCATCTCCCCAACCCCTACCTATGGTTTCTTTCATTTTCAAACAATTTTTGACTTATTTATTTTTATTTTATGCATATGAGTGTTTTGCTTGCATATATGTAAGTGTAACATGTGCATGCTGAGGCCAGAAGATGGCATTGGACCTTTTGGAACTGGAGTTACAGATGGTTGTTAGCTGCCATGTAGGCACTGGGAACCAAACCCAGGTCCTCTGCAAAAGCAGCTAGTGCTCTTAACTGCTGAGCCATCTCTCTAGTCCCTAGCTATGGCTTCTCTCTCTCTCTCTCTCTCTCTCTCTCTCTCTCTCTCTCTCTCTCTCCCCTTTCTTCCCTTCCTTCCTTCTCCCTCCCTTCCTTCTTTCTTTTCTTCTTTCTTGTTTCTTTCTCTGTCCTTCCTTCCCTCCTTCCTTCCCTTCCTTCCCCTTCTCTCTCCCTCCCTCCCTTCCTTTTTGGTCCTTTTGGGACAGGGTCTCCCTGTAGTCCCAGCTGACCTGGAACGTACTATGTAGACCAGGCTGGCCTCAATCTCACAGAGATTTGCCTGCTCCTGCCTCAAGTGCTGGTACTAAAGGCGTGTGCCACCAAGCCTTCAAGCTATGGTTTCTTATGCGGTGATTTGGCCTTAATACCACGGGGGCTCATTGGTATGCCTCATGTGCCACCTTCATTGTTATTGCAAGGTCTTTGCACTTTCAGTTCCCTGTCTAGAACCCTTTCCTGCCAGATCTTGCTGCAGAAATTACTTGACCTCAGCTGAACATCACCTCCCGGGGAAGGCAGCCCTGGCCAACCTATCCAGAGTAGCTGCCTCCAGGCACCTCTCCATCTCACCTTCTCAGCATCAGGATGGGGGAAGCTGGATTGTGAGTATCTTTCCTTGCATACTCAATTGAGAGCTGCAGAAGATTGAACAATGGTCCCAAAAGACCAGTGCCCATCCTAATCCTGAACGTTTGCAGGTGGCTTCATGGGAAAAGGGCCTTTGAAGAGTCAAGTTAAGGATCTCAAGTGAGACCATCATCATGGTGGGCCTCACTTAAGTTTAATGACAAGTGTCCTAGCAAGATCCATGGGGAGAGATGCATGGAGGGGAGAAGACCATGAAAACAGACTGTGGTTGCAGAAATGCAGCCACAAGTTGAGCAACACAGAAGCCTCCAGGAGCTTGAGGATGTAGAGCCTGACTTGACTTCAGGAGTCACTTGAAGGCACATAGCTCTGACACCTTGATTTTGAACTTCCATCAGAGTCATGAGAGAATGTCTCTTTAGTTTTTGTAATTGGTCATGATAGCCCTAGCAGGGGGCTCCTAAATAGACTGTCCCACACTCAAATGCATACACTGCACATCCACACCAGGGAGGGTCTCACTGCTGCTTCACAGACCGTGTGAAAACAAATTCTGGCTGGTGCAGGTTTTGCCCAGAGATCAAGGGCCACCTGTGATCTTCTGAGGAGTAAGGACTTTGCTGCCTGGAGCCTTGGATCTCCAAATGTGCTGATAAACACATCTGGAGGGAATGGCCCGGCTGCATGTCACAGGCTGTTAAGGCCCCTGGCTCCTCCCGAGGCCCTGGGCTTCTGCCGCAGTTACAGATGGGACAGGAGCTCAGCTTGTCATAGAGAGGGGAACTCTGGATGTGTTCTCTCTGTGTGTGAGCACACACACATGTGCACACATGTGACTGTGTGTGAGGAATGTGGATGAGTACCCATGTGAGGGAGTGTGTGAGCATGTGACATCAGTGTGAGATACTTCTGGGAATGGGAGCAGATTGAAGGTAGTGTGAGGCTGTGACCATATATTGGAGTACACATGGGTGCATGAGTGTGCCAGTGTGTTGGTGTGTGAACCCATCAGTCAGTGAGAACATATCAAACAGTACAAAGAGAAATCCCACAGAGACACCTCACTCAAGAGACTGCTGTGGTGGGGGAACCCCAGGGGCAATCAGAATGCAGATCCCATATTGTTTCTGACTACGTGTGTGGCGTGGGGCACGACACTGCACCTCTGAGCCTGTTTTATGTCAGGATGGCACCTTATGCAAGGTTTGCTCTAGGGATTAGACAAGTCCACGGATCTCCAATGACAGGCTTCAGTGGTCAATTTCAGGGGACAGCACTTCCTGCCCTGCTAAGCACCTCACTTGTCCCCGAAGGACGGGGCTCTGCAGACCTGGGTCCAGGGTGTCTGGAGGATAACTACAGGAGCCCTAAGGCAGGTGTGTGAGCAGTGCGGCGTCTTCCAGAGGTGGGGACGCACGCCCTGGAAGACAACAGACTTTTTCAAGCTGCAGCTGTGACTTGACCCAGGGTGGGGGCAAGGTACTCGGCCACGGACAGACAACGCCCACTTTTCCGCCTATTCCGCGCCTGCCAGTGAAGCTGCCGGAAGTAACGCAAGACGGAATGTTTTCGTGGGGACACTCTCTGAGGCACCCCCCCCCCCCACACACACCCTCGTAGTTCTGGAGTTCTGTCCCAGGCCGCGCGGGCACGGAGCAGGGAACAGCGCTAAAAGCCGAACCCGAGCTCAGCGGCACAGCACGGTCGGTTCCCGGCGCCACAGTCGTACCTCAGAATCCCTAACCGTCCTGGCGTCCTTGCGGCGTCAGCCGGTTCTCCAAGGCTCCTAGGAGAAGACGGGGCAGGGGTTAAATAACGGCTGTGCAGTTCCGAGTCGCACACTCCCATCCTGTGGCCATCTCAGATTACCCCCTATAAAGCAGAGCAGTCCTCCGTACCTCGTGGTGGGGACATCCTGAGTGACCCCGCAGGGACCCGGGAACATCCTTCTATCCCGGAGGCCGTTTTCTGACAGGGAGCTTCGTTCCTCTCTGCACTTAGAATTTACTACGGCCCCTAGGCCTCCCGCGCCACGCCTCCCGGTGCCGGGGACGTACCCGGAAGTGCCTGTACGGAAGCCGGCTGGGCCGCTCCGCTTCACCATGGCGACGGCCGCAGGCCCCAGGCGATTCTGCCGCTGCGCCTGTTTCTGCTACCAGGACTTGTACTCGGCGCGCTACGGGCTGCACCTGCGTTTCCACGATAAGCAGCAGCTGCGCCGGGAGTACGGCGCGGTGAGTGTCCTGCTGGCCCTACCGAGTTGGCAGGGTGCGGGGGCCTTCGTCCCGCCCTCGCGTGGCCCAGTGTTCACACGGGCCTCTTGGTGCTCCAATTTTCCCTTTTTCGAGGGAACTGGATGGCATCTCCCTAGTGAGAACACATCTGCGGAGTGCCGGGGCAAGAGGTTCGGGCTCGGTCAGTGTCATACGAGCACTTGGAAGTCCTGCTGAGTGCTTTACCACGTTTCCACAGATAACCCTGTGGCTAACTCAGGACACTGGCTTGCCTAGGGGCACACAGTCCTGCTAACTGGTCTCTCTGGCCGCAGCTCCTGCGCAGCCGTGGCTGCGTCAGCACCGAGGACTTCCTGCAACTCCTAGAGGAGGTAAGTACCCCGCGCGCCCTTTAGATTTATAGACTGGAGGGCTCCCAGTCCTCATCCCCGGAAGGACTTCTTTGTCCTGTTCCCGCGCCCATAAGCAGTCCTAGGTTTCGAGGAGAGGGACTGAGAAAGGCCAAGTTGTCGACAGCATGCCTTTCTTACCGTGTGGGATAGGCACGGCCACCACCCCGGTTTCAGCTGTTGTGACACCTTGACACCTGCAGTGAATCCTGTCAGGTTCAGAAATATAGAGCTTCCAGCTTGGGCCTCACTCTGGCCTTCCTGGGCCATGCACGGTCACTTGCCGGGATCAGAGGTCCTGCTTTATAATTGCCTGTGCCACCCCAGCTTGAGCAGGAGGTGCAGCGCCGCCGCAGGCTGGGGCAGGAATCAGCTGCCCGGAAATCCGTCATTACCAGCTCCTACCGCCCAGCCAGGCCTGACATCTACAGCTCCCTGCAGGTACCAGCCTGGGGGATTGGGGACTGGTTGAGAACGAAGCCGCTCCGATGGGGGCTGGCTTTCTATACCTGCTGTCTTCTGCACCAGGATGCAGCTCTGGCCCCTGAGTTTCTGGCCGCGACTGAGTATAGTGCATCCCCAGGTGCAGACCTTGACGGACTTCTCCAGCGGTTAGAGACAGTGTCAGGTGAGGTCTTGGTCTCCCCTGCCTGGCAGCACTCGGGGGTGGCAGCCTGAGATAGCTGGGTATGTGAGGCTGGGGCTCCTTACCTCTCCTCTCTGCTCTTAAGAAGTATCAGGAACTGGGAAGGCCAGTGGGACCAAACTGCTAGGAGCAGGGCATCTGCATTAATTCATGCATTCATTTATTGACCTGGAATAGGTCAGTGTGTCACTATTCCCATTGTACAAATGAAGAAACTGAGGATCGGGGTAGTAAAATGACATGCTGGCTTATGAGGTGATTTAATCAGAGTTCCTGGTCCACTGTCTGTCCCTCCTTCCTCAGAGGAGAAGCGCATCTACCGGGTGCCTGTGTTCTCTGTAGCATTCTGCCAGATCCTGCTGGAGGAGTTGGAGCACTTCGAGCATTCAGACATGCCCAAAGGAAGGCCTAACACTATGAACAACTATGGGGTAAGCGAGGCCTGGCCTATGTGCCCAGGGAGTGAGGGTGGCTGGAGTGGGAGACTCGGCTGAGGTGCTGCAGACAAACTACATGCCCTACACTGAACAAATGACTAGCATTCAGTAGCACCCTTGGTAAGAGTTGTACAGGGGTGTGGGATGAAGCTCCAGCAGTCTCCCTGCTGACTTCAGGGACACCTTCCCAGGTGTTGCTGCAAGAGTTAGGGCTGGATGATCCACTGGTGACACCACTGCGGGAGCGCTTCCTGCAGCCACTGATGGCCCTGCTGTACCCAGACTGCGGTGGGGGCCGGCTTGATAGCCACCGTGCCTTTGTGGTCAAGTATGCGCTGGGCCAGGACCTGGAACTGGGCTGCCACTATGATAATGCTGAGCTCACCCTCAATGTGGCTCTGGGCAAGGCCTTCACAGGGGGTGCCCTATACTTTGGGGGCTTCTTCCAGGTGAGTGAGACCCATGGGGCAAGGTCTGGACAATCATGCGTGCCCAGTCCTGAACCCCACCATTTATAGGCACCTGCAGCCCTGATGGAGCCCCTGGAGGTAGAGCATGTGGTGGGCCAGGGTGTCCTGCACCGTGGTGGCCAGCTGCATGGGGCCCAGCGACTAGGCACTGGCGAGCGTTGGAACCTTGTCGTCTGGCTCCGGGCTTCTGCTGTTCGCAACCGTCTCTGTCCCATGTGCTGCCGTAAGCCAGACCTGGTAGACGATGAGGGTTTCAGTGATGGCTTCACTCGGGAGGAGCCTGCTATGGCAGATGTATGTGCACTGACTTGAGCCTGGTTCTTTAAAAGGTGGTGGTGGGGTGGCAGTAGAAAGCTCTGCTGTCTTGGACTAGGAGGGCAGAAATAAACTCTGGAGCCACGACACTCCTTGGATCCAATGGACATGCTGACTTCTGGGTGACTGTTTCCACAGATAAGTTGTAGTACAGTTGGAAGAAAAGAGGCACGGGCAGAGGAAGCAGCCCTGAAAAGATGTGGTTTCACATGGCACCCAGCCTCAGCCTGACCCCAGGGGAGCTCTGATTGGGAATCCTACAATACTGGGTCTCCAGCAGCAGTTCAGTCAGTGGTGGCGCTCAGGGATGGGTCAAGGCAGGCATGTAGGGATAGCTTGCCATTTACCTGGGATATGGTGGATCCCAAGGTCAGTTAAGATCACAAGTGTGAATTATCAGCAGTGCTGGGGTGTGGGGGCCCACAAATAATCTCTAGATGGGAAGGGGTTTATTGCAGAGTGGAGGGTAGGGATGGAGCCAGACTTTCTGGGTTCAAATCTGTTCTGCCACTTCTAGCTGTGTGGCTCTCAGTTTGCTTGCACCCTGGGTGCTGTGTGAGAATCTAGTGAGCTGACATAAAGCACGTAACAGCCCCCTATGAGTACTGTTATTTAAGAGCTTGCAGCTGGTGGTTCTAAGACTGGGTGAAGGACACACACCACAGTATTCTGTTGGGGTTACATAGTTGACATCCTGGGGACTTCATCTTAGGATCACTAATTCTGGCTTCATTGGGAAAGTGGAAGATATGGAAACAGCAGCCCCAATTCTCACACTGCAGAATGCGGCTGGAGCGGTCTCAGCCGCACACCCGGCAGCCTGTGGTTCACTTCTTCAGTTGTCCTGACAACCCCCCCCAACACACACACAGTTGTGTTTGCGACTTCCTGCTGGGTGCTGAGCAGTCTGACGGAGCGGGCAGGCCTGCAGACAAGGCAGGGAGGAGACGGAACAGGAGGGTGGCTTTCAGGATGGTGAGGGGCTAGAGAACTGGGATGGCTCTGGGCTGGAGGAAACAGATCCCCAGCTCACCCGGGCTGGAGGTGAGGGGCCAGAGGCAGAACCTGAGGCATCGGAACTAAAGGCAGCACAGCCTCCAGTCACAACCGGACGCCTTCCGGCAGCGTCCCATACAGGACCGGAAGTGGATCAGAACCCACCTCGCCATCGCTTCTTCATGCGAGGGGGTAGTGTGGGCTGGTAGTCCTGCGGAATGCGTGGCTGAAGTGGGAACCCGGAGGTCCCTAGGCTTTCCGTGGGATAGCCCTGGCGCGCGGGGCGCGGGTGGAGTCCAGAAGCACGCCCTTGTGGTGGAGCAAAGCGGTAGGTTTTCATCTCAGGGTACAGAGCCGGGTGCGCAGGCGTGGGGCGGGACCGCAGCTCAGGGTCCCGGAGGCGGGGCGCGAGGTTTTCCTGGGCGGCGATGGGAATTAGGCACCCCGAGGACCCGGCGCGGCCTTTGGACTCACTCTACACACCTGCCCGAGGGAGCCGCAGATTAGGAGCACCTCTTCCCGTCTCTAGCCGGTGTTGCTATGGCTCACGTTGGCTCTTGCAAGCGCTCGAGAAGTCGCAGTCGGTCCAGGGGGCGAAGGTCAGAAAAGCGGAGGAAGAAAAGTAGTAAGGACGCGTCAAGGAGCTGCTCGGCTTCTAGATCCCATGGTCACAAGGCTAGCAGCACCTCCGGGGCTGAGGGTGAGGACCACAGGGATCGGGATAGGGGTGTATGGCAACATCATTGCAGGAGGCTTGCATCTGTTGGGCTGGCTTCCAGGGGCTGACTGGGAGATGGGAGTGAGCATCAGTGAAGGATGCAGTGTAGACCGTGAACCGAGGGGTCCTCAAAAGGGGAGGAAGCTGGATCTGCACCACCTTGTTGAGTGAAGGGTATGCTTACTCCTGCCTTTAAAGCGCTGGGTGTGACAGGTGGGGCCTGGCCAACCCTACCAAGGTACTGTGACTTCTACATCTACAGAGAAGGTTCTTATCTGCTCTAAAGATCCTACTGGGAGGGGAGAGAGGGTTGGTCCCACCCTGTAGAGGCCTGAGCCTGCCCCAGGCCAGGCTGGGGAGAAAAGCTTAATTCTTTGCCCTCCTGGCCTTCCAGCCTCACCTTCTCCCTGCATCACAGAGAGAAGCAAACACAAGTCCCAGAGGAGACCGCGATCCAGCTCTTCCTCCTCTTCTTCCAGTTCTTCTAGCTTCTCTTCCTCCTCGTCCTCCTCTTCCTCCAAGGATGGCCGGAAGAAGAGAGGGAAGCACAAGGATAAGAAGAGGAAGAAGAAGAGAAAGAAGAAGCAGAAGAAAAAACGCAAGGAGAAGCCAGCTGTGCATCAGGCTGAGGCTCTGCCCGGCCCCTCACTGGACCAGTGGCACAGATCAGCAGGGGAGGATGATGATGGCCCAGGTACTCAGCCATCTAGCATTTAGTAGGGAGAGGGTCCCCTACCCAGGCCTGACACCTCCTTCATCTCCCTTCCAGTTCTGACTGATGAGCAGAAGTCCCGCATCCAGGCCATGAAGCCCATGACCAAAGAGGAGTGGGATGCCCGGCAGAGTGTCATCCGCAAGGTGGTGGACCCTGAGACAGGACGCACAAGGTGGGGAGTGTCATGCACATGCAGACCCCCCTGTACCATGATGTTTGGGAGTGTTGGCCCCAGGATGTGCCCTTGGGGTTAGAGAGCTGCAGCCACTCCTAAAACAGGCAAAATATGGGGAAAATGGTCACTTGTGATATGACATTGCAGCTGCTCCTCCCTGTATCCCCCATGTGAGCAGTTGCAGGGCTGGAAGGGCCTTGAGATAGCTTTTGAAATGGTTGCTGATGGTGGGGCTGATGGTGCAGGCTGGCAAAGCAGAGCCTACTTGGGAGGAGCACCCAGGCTCCCCCTGCTCAAGATGGTGGGGCTTGAGGCCTGGCATTCCTCTCCTGTGTGGTTCTGGTTCTGCCACTATGGTATGATTGTCCCAACCTGTTCCTTGCTGAGGTGACACCCTCCCACCCCCAGGCTCATCAAGGGAGATGGTGAGGTCTTAGAGGAAATTGTAACCAAAGAACGACACAGAGAAATCAATAAGGTTGGTATCACCATTCTGCCCATGCTTTGCCCACACTCTACCTATGCTTTCTCATGCCTCCTTCCTGTGTTTCTTACTTCCTCAGCAAGCCACCCGAGGGGACGGCTTGGCCTTCCAGATGCGGGCAGGGCTACTTCCTTGAGGGCCCTGTTGGCCAAAGCCTGTGCTGTACTGATGGTGGCTTAGAGTAGCCAGCTTGATGGATGCAGCTGCCTTTTTTCCTGTGTCTGGCCCTGCCCAGCCTTCTTTCAGATGGACCAGAGTATAACATCCTGATATTAAAGGATCTTGGTCAGACTTATGTCCTGTTGCTTTTTGTGCTGAGGAGTGGGTTGGGGTAGATGCCACTTGACTTTAAAGAGATGGGCCCAGGAGCTTTGGGGAAAGCTGATGTGCCCCTGGTGGTAGCAAGCAAAGACCACCTAGCTACCTCTGCCCTGTTCTTCAGTTGGCCCCAATAGGATCAGACATGACCCCATCCTGGGTTGAACTCAGCCTTGGTCCTTGGGTTAGATACATCAGGCCACTGCCTGTGCCTATCCTTGTTCCATTAGGTAGTAGCCTGGGTGAGCAGGAGTCCTAGCCCTGGCCTATTGGCCAGGAGCAAAAGCCAGCACCCACTTAACCAGGTCTGTCCATGGAGGATAGTCAGCTCTGGTGTATGTACTGATGTCACTGTCAGTAGCAGGGGTCACTTACTGCAATGGATGCCTCCCCCCCAGCTTCAATGCCAAGATACACCTGCCCACCCTCATACCCATGGGTGTCCCCACAGTAATGAGACCAGAAGGAAGTCTCCTGCTTTTTTAATTGGTATAACGGACAGTGACGCTGTATACAGAGCACACTCAGACCAGACAATGCCAAGACAGCAACTGGGGGAGAAGTCAGGACACTGCTCACACATTGCCCAGAGGGACTGACAGGCACAAGGACAGACAGGAGGGAGCTGAGATGTGAAGGTGTGACAAGGCAGGGTGGTGGGGAGCTCAGACTGAGCCAGGAAGGGGAGGGGTCTCTGCTGAATCGCTCTTTAGAAATCAAAGAGAAGGCAGGTGGTTGGTGCTGGGTGGCATTGAGGCTCAGTCCTGGGGACTGGGGTGGGAGTGACTAAGGCTTCTATTCTAACAGGCCTGGGGTGGGTGGCAGTCTGCAAGGCCTGCCTCACCCTTTGGTTATGACTGGCCAGGCCTGAGCCCTGCAGCTCAGCACCTGACACTGTAAACATTTTTGGTATTTTTAAAGGACTTTGCCCTCTCAGTTTCTGGAAAAGTGGGGCTTCCTCAAAGGAAAATGTGCCAAAGGAATCTGAAGGGAGGCAGAAAGCAGACCTGGGTATAGGAGAGGCTTGGAGGGGAGGCTGCCCGTCTCACCATCTATGGCTGAGAGCCCTGGGAGAGCCCCAGGGGACTATTGCTGTTGTCCTTGGCATGGCTGGAGGCTAGGCAGGCAGGGGCTTGCGGAGCCACAGGAGCAGCCCTGGAGGAGAGGCCACACCCACTGCCCCCAGGGCTTCCCTGACCTTTATTGCAGGCAGGTGCTTCTCCCAATGGCTGGTCACCTAGGCTGAGGCAAGACAGGCTGGGGCGGGGCTGAAGAGAAGGAGGCACTGGCCACAAGGGCTCCTGGCAGGGCTCTGATTGTTGGGACAGCAGCTTCCTTCGGGGAGTGGAGGGGCAGATATTGCACTTTTAAATGCAACAGTTACATGGAAACTTGATCCATAAAATAATCGTTGCTTTATACATAACGCCTGAAACAACAAAAAGCTACATCTTAAATATGTATAAACCCTGAAGGTTCCATCCCTCCAGACATTTCTCTCTGCACAAAATAAATAGCTTTCCCTCTGTATAGGCCCTCTGTGGGGAGCACTTCCATGCCCCTGTGGCTGTACATATCTACACAGGAAAGTCAGCATCACCTGGGCACCTCCTCAGCCCAGCCATGTAGCCCTGAGTCTAGTCCAGCTTGGCAGCTTTTCAGGGACAGAGCCACGTTGCTAGACAGCTGGCCTCAGCTAGGTGGGCTCAGCCAGCTCAGGAAAGGTGGAGGAGCTGAGGCAGCTGGAGCTGAGATTGTGCTGGATGCTGGGGGAAGGCAGGTGCTCAGACCCAGGTGCAGGATATGACCTTGGGCAGAAATGAAATGGCTGCCTGCCCTTAAGCTAACAAAGTGAGCTGTGGCTTCTTTAGAGTTGGCATTAAAACGGAATGGCATTAAGAAAACCTAAGGGTCCCCCCCCCCCCGAGGAGAAAATCTGTAAAATTTGGGGGCAGGGGGGGGGGGGGGGCCCCCCCCAGGCCGG